GAAGGCCTTGAATTCTGACTCGTTAACAAGCTCACGGACATGGAATGACAATATACCTGAAAATAACCAATTGCACCAAGAATAAATAATTTTGGCTGTCAGAAGTTAATCTTTCAAATGCACGACGGTAACGTTTTCAAAATAACAGTTAAAAACGCACCATGATCGTTAGAAAAGGAACGCAATATACCCACAACAAACAATAGGGTATCCTTACCGTAAAGTACATTTGGAACTCTTAAACCGCTTATCTGAATCGAACAATGCATTAGAAAAATAACGGGAAGATTAAAAATACTTTCGCACGACTACTAACTTACACCATTGGAAGTGAATAATTGACATATGTTGGCCATGCCACCTTCAAAAAGAGTCTTTTCAACTTCTACGTCAGATATCTCAAACAATTAGTAAAGCAAAATGGAACAGAAACTATAGGTGTTAAACTTTTGTCCAATTAGAACTTACACCACTGTAGGTCACCACTCGACAAACTTTATCCATATCCTCAGGATCACCCAAAATATGACAAATCGTATCTTCTTGCTCGAATGCAGACTTAACAATTCCAACCGTTATAACCTACAAATAATTTCTCAGCAGTGAAAGAAACTAAAGTTCACTGGACACACCGTAGTGAAAGAGAAAACTCCACACTCATATTTCTCCTCGGCATTAACAAATGAGTGAATATCACTAATCGTCACCGGAACTGGTAAGTTCTCCACAGTTTTTGTTGGTGGTAATCCCGCAGCCGTGGAAGTGCTTTCTAAGTCATCACCATCATAGCCTGAGACCCGCAACATAGCAACTGAAATGTTTCGATGACTTTTTGATGTATGCGAAAAGAAAAGACCAGTCTTACTACAATGACGATGATAAAATGAGTCATACAGAAAAGACAGTAACGAAGCCTCCGGAAAACTGTATCAGAAATTACTAAAAGCTGAACTCGAATCAGACCTCCAACCTTTTATAGTCTTTGCTGACTGTCAGCAACTAGTTGCACTTCTAATGCGGACATTTGCACTAAATTTGTGCGACCTTGCAAGCAATATGCAAAGCTCACAAATCATACATCACAAAGTTATTGAAAACAACTCCAGACATTTGCACTTCTGAAACTCGTGCAAAACAAACTCATTTTCAAACATACTGTCTCTGCAAAGTACTTTATTCAAAGAGATCAGTTTGAACCACGATTTTTGGAAAGTTTCAATCGACTTACTAAAACGCAACCAAAGCTCTTTTTCCACATTCAATCATTTTGATGTATGCAAAGAGAAAAGACCAATCTTACTACAATGATGATGATAAAGTAAATCACACAGTAAAGACACTAACGAGGCCTTCGGAAAACTGTATCACAAACTACTAAGAGCTCAACTCGAGTTATACCTCTTCAACCTCTTTATAGTCTTTGCTGACTGTCAGCAGCTAGTTGCACTTT